GGGGGGGGGGGTTCAGGCCCCCCAGTAACGTGTATCCACTGGACAAGTGTGGGGGGAGGATCACGGCTCTGGGAGCAGGGTTTTAGAGATACTGCAAGGACTGACAGGACTCCTACAGAGAGGGGCCAGTATCAGGGAGGATGGGAGGAAGGAGGAGGCTGGGAACTCCAAGGAAAGGAAGTGGTGGGAAGGAGTTGAGGTGCATGTACACCAATGCTAGGAGCATGAGTAATAAGCAGGAAGAGCTTGAAGCTCTCCTGGGAATAGGGGGGTATGATCTGCTGGGAATCACAGAAACTTGGAGGGATGAAAGGCAAGTCTGGAATGTGAACATAGAAGGGTATCACCTCTTTAGAAACAACAGGAAGGGAAAGAGAGGTGGGGGCGTGGCTTTATACGTCAGGGAAGGGATAGGATGCAGTGAGATAGAATGCTGTACAGATGGGGATTTGGTAGAGGCAGTCTGGGTGAAACTTAGGGGTTTTGACAGGGAAAGAGACATGACAGTGGGGGTATGTTATCACCCTCCAGATCAACTTGAGACCCAGGATGATGTCCTGACAGACCAGATTTTAAGGTTATCTCGGGGGAGAGACACAGTAATTATGGGAGATTTCAATCTCCCGGATATTACTTGGGAGACTCACTCGGCGCTGAAAGCCAGGTCACGTCGCTTCCTAGAAGCTATTGAGGGAGCGTTTTTCACACAGAGGGTCTGAGAGGCGACGAGGGGGGGGGAACATCCTTGACATGGTCTTGACGAATAGGGAGGAGCTGATAGATGAAGTACAGATTAGGGGAGCTCTGGATGCAAGTGATCACTCCATCCTTTGCTTTGAGATCAGGGGACTGGGGATGTGCAGCAGGTCGAGCACTAGAAGCTGGGACTTCAAGAGGGCCAGCTTTGGCCAACTGAAGGCCAGACTGTGGAAAGTCTCCTGGGATAGGTTACTGGAATGTAAGCAAATTGAGGAGGGGTGGATAGCACTCAAAAGGGAGGTTTTAGAGACGCAAGCCTTGACGATACCTCTAGTCAGGAAGGTGGGGAGGCAGAGGAGAGTGCCGCCACGGATGCGAAAGTAGGTGGTTAGAGGGATTAGACGCAAGAGGAAGCTCCACAGGAAATCGGTACTGGGGGAAATAGACAAAAGGGTATACCGGGAGGAGGAGGCCCGTTGCAGAAGGATTCTTCACAAGGCTAAGGCTGAATACGAGCTGAGACTTGCCAAGAGTATCAAGAGCAACAAAAAGGGTTTCTTTCATCATGTAAATAGGAAGAGGAAGGGGAGACAAGTGGTGGGACCACTAAATAAGGAGGAAGGAGATCCAGTGACTGATATGATGCAACAGACACAGATGCTAAATGACTATTTTGCCTCTGTGTTCTCCCCAAAGCA